GGGTCCTGCCTTCATTTCCACCTGCTCCTTCCCAGCCATCCCTCCCTGGATCTCTCTGCTGACTGCTCTTCCTTTCTCTCATCCCAGAGGGGGCATGCTGCAGGGCGGGATGCCATGGGGGTTGTAAGAAGGGGTTTTCATTTGCCCGTTTTTGCTGAGTTTCACACACAGCTGCCTATAATTTCCTTTTACAGTGTGCTACAAGCTGAAGCCACTCTCATAACTTCTACCTGGCTTTCCCCTGCCAGCACTGGAGGCTAAATATAAGCTCAGGGAGCTGGCCCTGTGTCCCTGCCCATATCTGGCAGCGCCCGGCGTTCCAGCGCGGTTTCACAGAGCCGATGCTTTTCACGAACTTGGCAGCTGCAGAGAGCCACTTCTCCCCGAGTAAGCTGTATCCATTTCTGAAGGAACAGCAAACACATTGCTAGCTTGCAGTGCAGAGGGCTATGTTGCAATTTTCTTTTGAGTGCCTAGGTTTCCACTCTGCCTCCGGGAAGGGAAAAAAAGTCACGCCAAAAACTTGTTCAGACAGCGCTGGTTGTTGTCCAATGATCTGTTTGGTAACGCTGTGATGTTTTTGAGGAAAACATTACTTTTAAAGGTTTGGCAGTTTTTAAACAGCATTTAACGTGTAAGGGAAACTTATGATGGATATATTAGCATCTGTGCCAGACTAAACATCTGTAGCTTTTAATGAAGAAGGCAATAGAAAATCAGAATTTTAATTCTGTTTTTCAGCTGACACTATAAATCAGCCATTTTAAACACAACCTAGGTGTACAATTAATTTGTTTTTGTTCACATGGTCAAAAATTAACATCCCAAATTCAGCAAAGTATTCACAAGATCTAGACATGTCAGCAAACTTGTCCTTAAATTACTTGTTTGCACACTGATAGATGTAGATAGCAGTTTGAAAAAACCACAGAGACATAAGCTAATGTCCAGACAAAGAGTGGGAGCCTGCTAATTTTTCCAGGTTTTAGGCTTCACTTTCAGGTTGGAAGTACCTGTGTTAACCTATAACTGGAGAAGAGCAGCTCCCAGTTTGACTTGACAAGACATCCCAGAGAAAAGAGTGGCTGCAGCCAGCCTGGACTCTGCTGCCTCACCCCACAGCCATCGGTGCGGTTCAGGCCAGCCCCAGCCTCTCACAGCTGGACCTCCAGGCACCAGAGAGAACCTTCACTATTTAGTATCTGCTGGGGAAGGGGGTCCCTGGCAACATTTCTCCCGGCTTCAGTTTTTGCCATTGAGTCAGAAATCAGGGACAACAAAAAAGAAACCTGCCTCACCATAAAAGTCATCACAGTAGTGACATACTCAGGCTATGCAGACTCAGCTTTTGTAAGATGGGTTACAGTAATCTGCCTTAATGAAAAGTAAAATAAATTAGAATAAACTACCAAGATTAAAACCAAAGTATGACGCGTTTAAACTGGCATGTCATATTTAACAGGTGGAGTAGGCAAAAGATATTCCTGCCTACACTTACACAGCCTAAGACTGTAATTTGGTAAGTCGTGGTAATTTAGTAACTTTTAAAATTCCCTGTTGATGCAAAAGCTGAGGATTCAACATCTACAGAGGCTGGTACCCTTCACTGTAGCTTGTTTTTTCTTGGAAATGGCTGATGAATAAGGGATGTCAAAGAAAACAGGATGAATGGAAGAAGTATTACAAAGCACTTTGATCAGACTATTTTCCAGACATACTGCCTATATTTTTAGACTGGGCTTGTGACTGGACAACCTATTCAGAAAGTAATTCTTGAAAATATGAAAAGGTTGATAATTGCATAACATTGCTGACCAGCTAATACATCTTGGAGACAGTGATGGTCTCCAGATAAACTTATTGAGGAGAAATGGTGAGAGATAAACAAGCTATAATTCAGCAAGGACAGGGGCAAACTCCTGCATTTTGTTTGGAATAAATGGCTGTGAAAACAGGGTAGAAAATGACATGAAGGATCTGTGAATTACCATGTACCACCAACCAAATGCCAACCATTTCACACTGCTGAGAAAAAAATGAATGACATATGGCGATGTATGAACAGCAGTGCCATATGCAAGATGTGAAAAATCCTCCTCCTACTCTATGTGCTGCTGAAAGCCTCAGTCTGAATCCTGTGCCTGGATTTAGGCACCACACTCCATGGAAGATGTGGAATGGTCAAAAGTAAGAAGACTGCTGGAAGTCTGGTAAACACAGTCTGTGTGAGTCTGAGGAAAGCTGGGATGAAAAGGAAGAAGACTGAGCAAGTGAGAGTGGTACCAAATATGCAAAGAAAAAGAAAATAAATTATTTTCCAGATGCAATGCATAAATAAGGAGGACAGCTAAGTTACAAAAGGGGAACTCAGGTTAGACATGATACAAATGCTGTAGTGGTTGTGCAGTGAAACACAGGAGGAAGTGGTCCAAGGAGGAGACAGAGTGCATGATGAAAACTATTTGTTATGAAAGATGTAATCTCATCCTGTGTCAAATGATGTCTGGAGAGCGTCCCCCCGCCTCCGCAACGCTGATGAAAAGTTAAAAATCCTCAGCTGCTGTAAACCAGGGAAACTTCATTAATGATGTATACCAGTAAAGGGGCTGTGCCTGAAATGTGTCCGGTGTAATCATTTTTTCTATCTCATTTCTGCTTTTAGCCATGAGATGATGAGTAATAGATACAGGGCTACGTCGTTAGCCAGAAATCCTTTGGCTTTCTAAAGGTCAGTTAATCTATGATCTAATCTGACGGTCACTGGAATTAAGTGGAAGCAGTTCAGCGGGCTGTAATGGAGGCTCTGGGTGTCTCCAGCCTTCAGTTGCCTTGACTTAAAACATCCTTTATAAGCAAAACAACATCTAGGTATGAAATACATCTCAAAACGCATGAATCTTGCCTTTGTACTTAAAGAAGAAGAAAAAAAAAAGGCCAGCCTGCTTTTCTAGCTATCTGCCAGCTTAAGACAGTTCCCATTAAAAACTCCAAAATGCTGTCAGTGCCTTCTGTTCACCTGTTGATATTCCCGTCCCTTGGGAGATTTTATGCAGCTGGGGAAGTGGGCTAGATTTACACGAACTTGGCTGCTCTACCTTGACTTGTTCACAGTGGGAGCTGAGCTGCCCTTTTAAGAGTGGAATACTTCAACCAAGCAAGAGCAAAAAAAAAAAATCAGGAAAAAGAAAAAAAAACCTAAAAGAAAAGCAGAATTGACTATACAGCTTGGCACTTAAAGGAGCACTAAAATAGACATGTGAAACTTTTCACAGTTATCTGTAAATCTTTGAGGATTTCAAGTCTCAGCATTGTCACTACTAGTAAATTAAAGATCTGAAAGGTTTTCCCAGTGAGCAGATATTTGATCCCTAAACAAAGCTAATATTTCATATTTTTGAGTCAGTTTTCCCATGTACTTTCACTTCATATGTCTGGACTTTAGACTGCTTTTCTGCTACTCTTGTAACACACCAGAAAATCCCCTCCTATCTAAAGTTACACTTAATATACACTACTTAGTTTGAGGAATTGAATTTCATAATACATGAATAGGCATAAAAACCCACCAAAAAAACCCAGAGACTCAGGTCAGAAAGATACCCTTCTTTTGACTCTGACTTTCTGGCACTGCATTTCCTCTAGATTACAATGTAGTTTAATTTTCATGGATGTCATCTGGAAATGACAGGCAATGTAATGCAGCTGGATTCTGTTTGTCACTGAATATATTCTGTATGTTAACTGGTAGTGTGATGCACTGAAGCATAGTCTTTAATTAAAGTGCAACAATACCACAGTGCAGCAGCACTACAGCACCAGCACAGCACAGGAACCTGGTGCTGGATATAAAAATAGCTGTGCTCTAAACATGCCATATCACTACATGATGTGACTAAGTCAGTGGAGACACTCTTACACTTGAAACCTGAAGGATTACTGAACACTGATTTTCAGCTGGGGAAGCTGTGATCAAATCAATGCATGTATTATTCTCCACAAATGAATAATGGTGTGAACAAGGACATATTAAACACCTACAGTGCACAAAGCTTTTCACACTGGTTATGAAGCAAAAACAAACAAAGAGGCTGTGAACTCTCCAGAGCTCTCCTGTGAAGTCCTCCTGCCTCTTTGGGTACAATATGCAGAATTCCCACAAATGCCCTGGTGCCAGCAGGAGAGGGCTCTGACTTTGGTTTGGGAGCAAGATGGCCAGACTGCTGTCCTCTCGATGAAAACAAAAAACAAAACAAACTGAAACCACTCCATACTCCACAGTGAGTGAAGGTGGAACAAACCCCAGGGAGATAAAGATATCTCTGCTGGCACAGGAGCCAGGGAACAACCAGTGCCCCTTCCCTCCATAACCCTCTGCCGTGGGATGTGCTGGTGCTGAGCTTGCAGGTCCATCCCTGACCACGGCTGCCAAAGTTCTCACCCCAGGGCTGTGAAACTCTCCCTACACTTGCTCAGCCAACACAAGGACTTCTGGAGAAATGCAACCCAGAACCAACCACTGCTCTTATTCCACAGGGAGACACCTGCCAAGCCAGGACAGCATCAGTCTGGTCTCCAAAGGAGCCAGCATTCCCTAAATGCCCAGCATGGGCAGCCCTTTGATTTGCCAGCACAGCTGATGCTGTCAGTGGTGCATGGGGACCACTGCAAAGGTCTCCCTCCAAAACCAGAATCAGACACCCACAGAGAAGCAGCAGCTGGGCTCCCTCTCTGCAAAAGGCACAGCATTTGCACATCCTTGTTCCTTGCTACTGCACAGGCTCCACATCCCACAGCATTGTGCTGTGCCATACTAGAGCCCCAGACATGATTTTAATGTCCCGGCACCATAAAAACAGTTTAGGAGAAGAGGCAGTGTGGATTTGGCATCGGGCAGTGCTGCAGGAATGAGACAACAGGAACCATGCAGTGATGCTTGTCTGCTTGCTGGGAAATGCATCAGGGAGGCACAAACACACAAAAGAGAGAGAGGAGATAGTTACCTAACATGACGAAGGGGATTCCCAGGAAGGTGGAATTGTATTTCCCACCAGTGAGATTGATGATCCCAGCAGCAGTCAGGGTGGCAAGGGTCACTGTCAGCAATCCCAGCAGGCCAAGCCAGGGTTTGCTGCGGACACAATCCTGCATGGAGCAGCAGAGAATGGCCAAGGTGACCACAAGGACCAAGCTCGTGATCAGGTAGCGTTCCGACACCCTGCTCGTCTTCTGGAAATCCTCCTTCAGCGAAGAGGAAGTGAAAGGGTACATTTTGACTTTCCTGTTGGATTTCTGGAAAAGTTCAACAGTGTCACAAAAAATGGACTCCCACTTCTCTGCCACCATGTCATTCAGGGAGTTGATTGCCTGCAAGTAGTAGGTGAGCTGAATGGCTTCTGCAGACTTCACCTGGTCCTTGCTGTGCACAGTAACCCCACCGAGCTGATGCCCATTGTACACTTCCCTGCCATCCTTTAAGTGAGTAATCGGGTAAGTGATTGCAAAATTAGTTCGATTAGAAGAACGAGCAGCCTTTAATTCCTCCAGTACATGCACTATGTCGTCCACTATGCATGTCTTGTCATTGTTCAGGATACATATATGGGCAAACGTGTAATTGAAACCAGGTCTTTGAACTTGGATCCTGGTCACTGCAGAGTGCAACTACAAGGGAAAGAGAAATCACACACGTTATTCACCAGTTCATCTCGTGCAGCAGCAGCCAGAACCACAGCAGCTCCTCACCGCCGTCCCTTTGCTATTGATCTAAGCAACAACAACAAAAGTTCTGGTGACTGCAGTATTAATAGCACACTCATTGCAAAAAAAAAAAAGATAAAAAAAAGGAAACATTCATCAAATCAGTATTATCCCCCAGTGTCCTTTGCTGGTAACTCTGGCATAATGTGATGTGCATATGGGCCACGTGCAGCCGCTGTTTGGCCTCTCTAAATAAGTAAACTCAACAGGTCCAGCTAAAGCCCAACCATGTCCAGGGACACTGTTGTGCTCAGGATTGCCCAATTACCCTCTCAAGGGATCAGCCTGAAGTACAGAAGGCAGAAGAGCACCGTGACCAGGTGTGCCATCCGTGCAGGATGTGCTGGCAGCCTGGCAGTGCAGGGGACCAGCACAGGCCACAGCTGCATGTCCCACCAATAGAGACTGCTGGCACAGCAGGGAAAAGAGATCTGGCAATAACTAATTTGCCCTCTTTTCTCCTCCCTCTTTCCCCCATCAAATCCTCAGCAGTCCGAGAGCAGGAAGCAATGGCAGACAGACACTGGTTTTCTCTTGCTCTCTCTGAGAGGTTCTGTTAATTAGTGAGGGTCCCCTAACTTTAGGGTTTGTAGGTTATTTAGGTGTAGCAGGTCTTGGTGCACCTTCCTTTTTGTTTCTCATCCTTCTGAAATGTGCCATGCCTGAGCCCTGACTCCAAAAATATTCAGTTATTTCTGAGCATCAGAAAGGCAGAAAAAATTACTATCTCTTCTTGAAAAATACAGAAAACTCTTGTAACCTTTTCTGAATCCATTTTAGTCAACATAGAAGAAACAAGAAATTTAAAATATGGCAAAAGAATAGCCCAAATAGGCTAGGGTTACAGTGTTTTTAAAAAAAAAAAATTGAATTTGCTATTGTGTATCATTCTGTCTGATGATAAACACTTTAAAAAATAGAAGATAGTGTACAGGAGAGCAGTAGAGCTTATACACTCTTCTGGGGGCAAAGGAAAAAATGTCTAATAATCCTGGCTAACCCCCTGTATCTGTTGAAAAGAAACAGTCATAGTGACTTTTGTGTGGTATTTGAGACTTATTTGCAGCAGCCCACCCAGCCACCCTTCCCCCTCCTAATTTATATGGTACCATCAACCTGATTGTTTTGTGATTCCATTGCACACTCTATGATGGGTATAAATTTAGTTATTTGCCTCCATTCCACAGGATAAAGTGACATCATATAGACAAAGATTACAACATTTCTATATTCTCATCTTGTTTCTCTAGCAGCTTGGGGGTGTATTTTTCCACCTTTGAGTAGCTTTAATGTTTTTGACAGAAATAAAAGTTCAATACTGACATTAGGAACATAAGTTTGAGAAATGAACTGACCTAACAAATCTTTTCACAGTTCTGTGAGAACACGATACCTGGCCATGGTGAGAAGCGAAATTTTTCATTGTGGTGAGAGAAAAAATGTAATTGTCTGTGCAACAGTTTGGAGTCTTTTGCACAACTTCTTCTAAAACAAAACAAAATAAAATATTTGCAGGAACATGACAAAAAAATTATCCTCTATGGGGAATACTTCCCATCTTTTCAGTTTGGAGTTGCAAAGTTCCGTTGTTTTGGGGTACAAATTCTATTGTACATGACTGCAGTTTGGGGAAAATGCCCTGATTTACCAGATCAAAGACAGATATCTGATTTTAATTTTTTTTCAGTGGAAGCTACTGAATGGTTTTCATTGACAACAGCTATAAAACAAGGCGCCACATAAAGAAGCACAGCTGAGGGAAACCAGGAGGAATAGAAGGAATTTCCTGCCTTTATTAGATTCACAATACAACTCCTTCAGAGAGGATCTATGGAGTGACACAATGCAGAAGAAACTAAACTGACATGCAACTTTTATCAAACAGTGTGTGTTGCTATTTACCCACCCTGCCTCACTGCAGTATTTGCTTCCTTCCACATCTGAAGCACTTTCTTCTAATATTTAGCTTATAAAATAACCTCATCTATTACTTTATCTTTAGTGAAAGGCTAGAAACTAAATGTCACACCTAAAATCCTCCTTCCCTCTCGGAAATGATCATTCCAGGCTGAGGAGCTTGTTCTGCAGCAGTGGCCTGGTGCTCCTGAGACCGTGCTGGGCTGGAGCGGGCGCTGCCCATCCCACCTCTCAGCAACGGGGCTTTGGGGAGCACAGGGAAGCAGGCAGACAGCTCTGTGTCCTGGCACATCCTGGCAGCTGAGCAGCCCCTGGAGCTGGCTGCAAGCTTGTGCAGTTTAGAGCAGCTTTGAGATATATTCTGAGCTTTGCCAATGGCCACAATGTTTGGTCTCAAATTGGCAGCAAACAGCCAAAGAAGAGGAAAGCTTGCCATTCCCTCCATCCCAACAAAGGATGCTGAGAACTGCACCAGCATGCCCAGGGATTCAGCAGTGGGAATTCTGACCCAGACTTTCCTTCTCAAGACAAACACAACACTTTATCTGCACTTTTTTCAGACCTGATGCTAGGAAAGCCCTCTGCTGCCTCAGTGCAGGGCAGGGTGTGCTGCAGCTTTCTCCTTTCTCCCTTTGCTTGCCCGTGGCAGCCCGAGAGCCACAGGGTGCTGCCTCCTCCCTGATGAGAGCTGCAGTCCCATGGCACTCTTCTCCCTGCTGCCATGCTGGGAATTCAGCTGTGCCACAGCCATAACCCTGGGTGAATGGTTTCCACAGAAAACTGAAGCTCCATGAGCTACAAGGGCACATCCTGTGAGTTCACAGGATTGCACAGTCTGCAATTTGGCTTACCTATGGTACACCAGGAGGTCCCCAGGAAACTTCAGTCTGATGGTAAGGGCTGTTGTGTGATGGGGACAACATTAGCAATATGCTAATGCATAATGCATATTGCACTCCTCAGCGCAGAGGTTTCTAATAGCAAGTAACCATTTAACTTGGAATAAACCTGGCACCTAGTCCTGGGACAAATGACTGGCTACCAGATCCTCACTGATCCAGCTGTTCTTATCCCTACTGATCCTATTAGGAGAAAGGGAAATTTAAAGGAATAACAAAATCTGAATGAATGGTTCTTCTTGAAGGGAGACATGCGCTGCTTGCTCATCACTCCCAGCTTTTTGCAGCTAGCTAACAGTGCAAGGAACCAAAAAGCTGAGATGCCAGAGCACTGCAGCATGAGAACTGCACAGCACCACCTAAGCTCCCTCACCATGGTGGCACACAGTCCCTGAAAGTGTTCAGACATGAAATAATAACATCCACTTCTTCCTTCTGCCATTGTTTAAACAGTGACCATTCCTTGGACTTCCCCTCTCCCTTCTGAAAGTGGTATTTCTGTGTCCTGCACCACCTTAGAGATTTCTAGAACAGTGTTTTCCCTTAGTCTTTAGTCATTTGCATTTGGTAACATCTTGGTCTTGGTCTTTGCTTACTTTAAGTCCCGTGCTCCCTTGGTTATTTATTTTAGACAGAGAGGAATGATGGTTTCAACCCGGAGACAAATCCCTTGCAGCAAATATCTCCAGGTGAGGGCTGTACTGATCTCACACCTCCCCACCAAGCCATGTCTAAGCCTGTGGCACAGCTGACAGATGAGAAGTGGTGCATTTGCACTTCCCTGCCAGCTGATTCTGTCCATGGGCCCAGGAGGATGCCAGGAAGCAAAAATCCTTCCACTTATCCTGGGCTATGCCATTTGCACCAGGGCCTCAGAGAGCCATGGCTGGAAGTTCTTCCAACTGTTTTATTTTTGCTGGTCCTCCTATCTCTTCCACCAGCACAGGAAGACAGGTGCTGGGAGCCAGAGCCCCTCAGCAGGGTCAGTTTGGGGGCCCTGGATGGCCAAGCCCCACACTGGGCTCTATGAGCCAGCTCTCCTCTGAACTGAGCTTAGCACAACTTTCAGCAGTGCCATCAAAGCTGAGCCTGAAGGCAAAAGGTTGTACTGGAGATGTATGGTCAGGACAGAAGGGAAAGCTTGTTTTTATTCTTAAGTCCCTGCAAAAGATGCAGGAAGCTACAAGAAGGGGTGAGAAAAACCTGTACCCCTTTGCTTTGTCGAAAAATCCTTTAATTCAGAAGTGAGAAGGTATTTCCAGAATTTTGTTAATTTAATCAGGTAACAAAGAAGTCTGCAGCCTCCCTGTGAAGGAAACAGATCCCTTCCCAGCAGGGATGGGTTAGAAACTGCTGATTCATCTGCACAATGGTCCAATCCCAGAAATCCTTTAAACTCATATTACATAATTTCCTACCCCAATCAAATCTATGGGCAGAGGGGATGAGGACCCAGCCACCAGTGTCCCACTTGGATCTCACCTTGCTGGTGGCACAGCTTTGCTCCCAGGGAAACTCCACAGTGACAGCCACAGCAAAATGCAGTGGGACCATTCAGGCTTTAACAAGCTCCCATGCCCAGCTCATGAAAACACATCCTGACTCCCCTGCAAGCTGGGTCAGCCACAGACACCATTTCTAATCATAAGGATGTGTACAGCTACCTCCTGCTTATCATATAGACCTCAAAGATATGTTTGGTTTTGCTGCTGAGCAGTGATATGTGGTGTTTATTGAGGACATAACTCATTGTAAGGACTTGACTATACTTTGTGCTTGACATACAGTCAATGAATGGCCAATGAGACAAAACTAGCTAGATATATGGATGTCCTCCTGCACTGCCAATGATCTGGCAGGCAGACTGTTTAACTCTCAGGAGCATCATCTTTGCAAAGCTGTATTACCTTGGTGTTGCTGCTATTATTTGACTTATTTAGTCTTGCAGTCTCCAGCTGATGGTTCAAATCCAATATTAGCTTTGCTTTTCAGTGTTGCCATTCTTAGAATATTTTTGCTGTCATTTTCACCAAGTCTGTTGTTTCTGAGTCCTGGAGCCTGAAGTATTGCCTTTTTTTTTTTAATCAC